GCAATCACCTGGTTGAGAAAAGACAATAACATCTTTGAGATGTTTTAGCTCTTCACGATTGACAGCAGTAAATGTTTGTATATCGCCCGGATGATGACAAGGATTTTTTGTAATAACAACTTTACAGTTGCTAAGAATTCGGGTATTTTGACATTTGTCATTCTTCTCTTTATCTTCATGATCATTAAGTCGAGTGTATTGAATAAAAACTTCATCCGGTTTTAACAAATTATACTCATCTATAATACCAAACATATTGCGAGCTTTATTGAGTGAAACACGAATACGTGTTCGTCGAAGTAGCTCTCGTACTGAACTAAGACATGCAGCTATCAGTAATTGTCGAAAAAATGGTTCACGAATAGAATCAATCTTTTCACCGTAGGGTAAAAACCAGTTTGATAATTTTTCATCAAGTAAATTTCTAGCATCATTATTTCTTAACAGACCTTGAATAAGAGTCAAATGATTACGTTGTTGAAGAGTAAGAAAGGCAGCATCAGATATGCATCGATGAGATAGAAGAAGAATGGCTTGTCGATTGTGAGAGTGGTCGAGGTGCAGAATTTTTTACATACTTCAGAAAACCGATGTTCACTCTCGAATTTGTTCATACTGGGACGAATACATAGGTGATGGCCATTTCCCAGTCGTGTATCAACACTGCCCCCTAAAAACCCGTCCTGTACCTCGTCGTGGTGTGGGGGCGAACATCTGAGTAGGGGAATGCTCGTTGAGGCTATGCCATCAGTGATGAAAGCTCCGGCTGAAGAATCACCTAGGGCGCTACGCGAGGTGGACAGGCTCAACGAGAACCCTGAAAACGATGGCCAACACAGGCGGTGACCGGGTGGCCGGTCTAGAGCGAACATGAAAATCTTCTTCATAAACGGTCAGCCACCTTACCTGCGTTCTCCCGGCAAGGAACCAGGGAAATTCTCTGCCTACGTAATTCACTATGAGACGAAACCAAAATACTGTCACGACTAACGACGTAAACGGATCCCAATCATCAAGAGTGGGACCCGCGTCCGGCAGGGTCGGAAGTAAGGCCGACTCGGTCGTCATCAGGCGAAATCCTTACACTTCTTACAACTCTCA